ATATAAGGCATGATTTCCATTTCTGATTACTTATTGTAGCTGAGTAAATAACAAAGTTAATTCTGAATCATCTGGAATAAGTTCAGTAGTTTCAATGTGTAAAACAACTCTTTTTTGCATATTGAAAGTTGGTATATATATATTAAGAGGTTCTGGAAAAATCTAATACCATGAGAATAACATACAATCCTGATTTTAAAAAAAAACATAAGGGTTTTGAGTCACTTTGCTTAGTTTTCCTGACTTATAATTAATCTTTCCTGATTTATTTGCATCAGAATACAGTGTATTAGTAGGGGCTCTAGAAATTGATGTTCCTTTTATTATATGAGGGAGAATCCAATTAAGTTCTTTTTATAAATCAATGTCTCTTGCTTTGGGGATACTTGTTGCTAATCTCTCCAAAAAAATTACTACAATGTGCAAATTTTGCCAGTGTGTATTTTCCACCCATAATGAGACAAATTCAACATTACAATTACAATCACAATTTCTGCTGGGTCTGTTCATACTAATTGATAAAGTCTCAATTTTCCTTTCAGAATCAATTCAGAAACCTTTTCTACATAGGTCTTTTTTTTAAAAATTTACTCTGTTTGAACTGTAAAAATATCCATTCAAACTGGGCGATGGTGGCGCATGCCTTTAATCCCAGCACTTGGGAGGCAGTGGCAGGTGGATCTCTGTGAGTTTGAGGCCAGCCTGCTCTACAAGAGTCAGTTCCAGGACAGGCTCCAAAACTACAGAGAAACATTCCTTTCTCAAAAAAAAAACAAACAAACAAAAAGTCAATTCTAAGATATTATCTTCTCTCTGCATAAGAATGCCCATACAAGGTAAAATGACTAGGACCCAATCAAGCTCTGGATCTAAGCAATTCACATGGTCATCCTGTAATGTCTTTCCTACCAGAGTCAATTCTCTCTTAGGCTCAGCTGATAATTTTCTTGAACTATTTACATCCTTATCACCTTGTAAGGTGTAAAATAAAGCTATTGAGTAGTTAATCCAGTTATGGGCAATAGCCAGTTAATATCTCCCAGCAATTTTTGAAAATCATTAACAGTTTGTTATTGATCTCTCTTGATTTTTACTTTCTGTGGTTGAATTTTCTATAAACCTATTTTATATCCTAAATAATTAATAGAATCTCCTCTTTGTATGTTTTCAAGAGTAATTTATAATCCCTAACAAGGAAAATTTTTCTTTACTTCATCAAACATTTTTTCTAAAGTGTGTGTGTCTGAATCAGCCAGTAAGATATCGTTCATATAAAGATAAATTATAGATTGTTTATGAATTATTTCTAATGACTGCTATACAAAATACTGACACAGGTGGGTGTGGTTAACATTCCTGTGAGAGAATTTTCCAATGGTACAGGCTGGGAATTACTAAAAGTAGACTCTGTGAAGGCAATTTTTTTATCCTGTTCTTCTAAAGACATAGTGAAAAAGCAACCTTTTAAATCAATCATTATAATGTAGCATCCTCAGGTAATAAAGAAGGCAAGGGAAATCCAGGCTGTAAAGAGTTCATTGCCTGAATCACCTTATTTGTAGCTTTCAGATCTCTTGTTACCATTTTCTATTTTCCAGATTTCTTTTTAATAACAAATGTCAGAGAATTCCAAGGGCTAGTCGACTCTTCTGTGTGAGCACTTAGCTGCTCCTGTGCCAGCTGTTCTAGTTCCTGTAAACTTTTTTGATGTCAAAGGCCATTGTTCCACCCAGACAGGTTTATCAATTAACCATTTTAAAAGTAAGGATATTGAGAGACCAACAGCTTATGTACAATATGAATGGTCTGTGACTATTCTTTTTTTAAAAAAATATTTATTTATTTATTATGTATATAATATCCTGACTGTGTGTATGTCTGCAGGCCAGAAGAGGGCACCAGACCTCATTACAGGTGGTTGTGAGCCACCATGTGGTTGCTGGGAATTGAACTCAGGACCTTTGGAAGAGCAGGCAATGCTCTTAACCACTGAGCCATCTCTCCAGCCCCGACTATTCTTAATAATACTTTCTAATGTTTTTCTCAGACGTATTCTTTATGATTTGTCTTTGAGATCAGAGGAATGTTAACCTGTGTTTTCCATTGCTACAACAAATCCTGTCCCCATAAATTCATTGCTATGTCAGTCATATATGGTTTAATTTTCTTAACTGTTCTTCTGACCCTATACACTCAACACATCTTATACTTTGTTTTGCCTGAGATAAAGTTCCAATCCCTAGAGGTTGAATATTTACCTCCTCAAGAAGTCAATCTGGATGCTAAGATTTTGGTGAACTTGTTGTTACAACTATGTCTGTGTCTAATAAACCTACATTTGTTTGTACTTTTAGTTTTGGTCTTTGATCATTTATAGCAATTTTCCAAAATACTGTTTTTTGGTCTCTCCTGAAATTTTTCTTTCATCTTCTAAAGCTGTCTGTCATCCAGAGCAGTGTGGTTTTCCATAATAGGCATTAAGTCTAATTGCTCTGTGGAGGAGTTTCCCCAATATTGACAGGAAATGATTTAACCAAATTTGATATTGGCACCTGTAAGAGTCCTGCTAAGATGTTTTCTAATGGTAAAGGGTGACCTTGCCTGTCTCTTGTTGGTCTGCATTCAATAGTTCAACGCTGCCCTGTGCCACACTTTCTACCTTCTCCAGAAAACTGAGGCATTCTGTTTGGATTATTTCTAGAAAAAAAATTGTTTCTAGGATGCCTTGCCTACAATCTCCTTTCAAACGACCTTGTTTACCACAATTAAAACATCTGACATTTGATTTTTATTAACATTTCTAGAAATTTCTTCTCCCATCAAAAACGTATCATAAGTATGAGATCCAATATCAGCTGTATTTTTAATCCATTCATCTATTTGTGGTAATCCTGCCTTTAAAGCCCCAATCACCCTTTTACATTCTGAATTAGCATTTTCATAAGCCAAAGATTCAATTAATATTCACCTGACTTCTGTATCTGATACTATTGTATTTACAGCTGAAATCAATTTTTGCAAAAAAAGTCAGTGAAAGCTTCTTTTGGGCCTTGCATAATTTTAGTAAATGACTCAGACCTCTTTCCTGATTCATCTACCTTGTCTTAAGCATTCAAGGCAGCATGCTAAACAACATACAGCCAAGGTGTGATCGTCAAATCCCAACTGATTTTGCAACTCAGCATATTGGCCTTCACCTAGAAGCTGACTGCGGGAAATATTAATGGCTCTAGCCCTATTTTGCTGCTCTGTAACTCTAGTTTCCTCTGTCCACCATGTTCCCCATTGTAACTGAGGACCAGTTTCCTCTACGACTATAGCCAAAGCTTTCCAGTCTTGGGGGATAGTTCTATTCTGAGTTGCCCTTGAATTTAACATCTGCTTTACATAGGGTAAATGCACACCATATGAAATGATTGCTTCCTTAAATCTTCTCAAATCTAATATCTCTACAGGATTCCATTTAACTTCTGCATAGCCTCAGGGGTGCCCATCATCTGATGGTCATTCGTGCATAGTAACTGGGTAAACTGAAGTTGGTTTCCTAATAACTTTGGGACCAGACCCCCTTTGGTTTCATCATGCATTGATATGGTTGGTTCTTGTATTAATTCCTCTGTCTGTGTCTGGGTATTTTTTTTATTTTCATTATCGGGTCTTCCTAAGGCTTGTATCTTATCAGTAATAAATCTTTCTAAGACTTGTATCTTATCAGCCAAATTTCATATTATCAAACCTTTTTTTAAAGATAACATATGAGTTATCAAGCTGATAGTAATTACAATGACATTTTGTCAATCCCAACTAGGTCAGTTATCCCTTTATTTATTTTTTTTTCAACTTCAAGCCATTCATTGTGGCTATGCAGAGTCTAATTCCCTGCATTTGAGATTTCCCATTCTTAACGTGGGAAAGATTTTTTTAAATATTACTTATCTCTCTCCTTAAGAATTCCACAGGTGTCTCACCAAGTCTGCTGACCGCTCAGGTTATCCGCAGCAGCAGTATCAGCAGCGAGCTCGGGTTTCTAAACGCGCACCTTCTCTCCAGAGTCCCTGAGAGAAATCCCCATGAGGAGTTCATGTGGTCTTCAACTAAGATTCTAGCATCCTATTTACCAATAAAATTGGGAGTCAGATGTAGCACAAATAATAAAAACCCAGAGACAGAGATTGGGGTTCAAACTGAAGATCAGAAAAGCAAAGCAACCAGTCACTGGTTCTTACCTTTACCTTATACTTAAATGGGTGATCCTGCCTCCATGAATCACTCAGACTGAGACTGAGCTGAGAGCTGTCTCCTCCCATTTTACATCCTCTCTAGTGCTGGGATTAAAGGCATGCACCACTACCTCCTGGCCTCTATGGCTGACTAGTGTGGCTTCTGGGATTAAAGGTGTGTGCCACCACTGCCTGGCCTGTATGGCTGACTCATATGACTAACTTTGCACTCTGATCTTCAGGCAAGCTTTATTTATTAAAACACAAATACTATACTGTTATAGTCAGATATTGGGATAAAAACATGCTAGCTCAGAGAGACTGAAAAGCAACCAGATGACCTTCCTTTTTGGCCAGAGAGCACCTTTCCATTGGTTCCAAACCAAAAAAACCATGAAACTCCAAATCCCTCCCTACATGCCTTCCTGTACATGTCTCTATCTGTCTTCCTGGCTCCTCTGCAGCTTCCTATACTCTTTAAGGCTATTTCCCATCAACTAGTTGCTGGCTCTGGCATCCCCCCCCCATCCATGGTTGATTTTATTAACACGGTCTCGAGTTTCACAGTGTGATCAAATATCCTGCAATAAAGATGGGCTAATTACAAACCCTGGGGAGAAGCACTGAGCGGAGGTGAGTAAGGAAGAGCAGCTAAAAGGAAAGCACAGCAGACACCTGGACTGTGTCCGTAACAAATGAGGGCTCATCAGAATGAGTTTTTCTTCAGCCTCTAGGATGTTATGATTATTAATTACGAATATTGGTTATTATTTTATGTAGAGGACTATGAAGTTTTGAAAAGGAATTTCCGAAACAAAAGTGAAGAAATGGAAACCACTACAAACAAGCTAAAGATGCAATTGAAGTCTGCGCAGACTGAGCTGGAGCAAACAAGGAATACCCTGAAGACCATGGAGGGCTCCGACGGCCATGGTATGCTCTGCTCCACCCCCTCAGTTTGGAATTCCATCGCCTAGATTTGTTAGAACACAAGTCTGGATGTACTGTCTCCCACCTCCTCACAGCGCCAGGGAATGAGAGAAACACACAGAGACATTAGCGACGGGGCATTAGGAAGCAGGGCTTCTACTGTGTTGTAAGGGAAATCGCCATGTACTTCTGTCCATGACATGTCTGAAACCAGAGCTATTCCCGTAACTTCTAACGAATCTCACCGTCTCCCCTTGTTTAAGGGTAGAAATGCAAGCCACTGAGAGTTTTCACTTAACCTCATGGTTTACATATGGCTTGTCTACATAAACTGTAGGTCAGTTTGTCAGTTTGGCTGATTGTTAGCTCTTGATTTCTTCTCTAATCAAATCGAGATGAGATTTGGTAATAGAACTACTAGATAAGAGGTCATTATCACACTTGTTGCCTTTCCACTTGCTGATCATACTGACCACGCACGTGCCACGTGAGTGAGAGTAAGCTGACCACGCCTATATCATGTAAGAGTGAGCTGACCACGCGGATATCATATAAGAGTGAGCTGACCATGCGTGTATCATGTAAGAATGAGCTGACAATGTGCGTATCATTTCAGAGTGAGCTGACAATGAGCGTGTGGTGTAAGAGTGAGCCAACCACGCATATATCATGTAATAATGAACTGATAGTGCATGTATCATGTAAGAGTGAGCTGACAACGAGCATGTGGTGTAAGAGTGAGCCGACTACGCATATATCATGTAAGAATGAACTGATAGTGCGTGTATCATGTAAGAGTGAGCTGACAATGCGTGTATCATGTAAGAGTGAGCTGACAATGTGTGTATCATGTAAGAGTGAACTGACAATGCATGTATCATGTAAGAGTGAGCTGACCATGTGTGTATCATGTGAGTAAGAGTGAACTGACTAGCACATGCTGTGTGAGTGAGAGCGAGGATCGTCAGAATGAGAGAAGCTGGTCCTCTCCCGCTATTCTGCCATTCGCGGTATAGCTCTAATAGCTGACTATAAGAATTAGTGTTTACCCAGGTTTTGGTGGCCTTTAACCCCAGCACTCTGGAGGAAGAAGTAGGCTCAAAGAGAATTCCAGAACACCCAGGGACACACATAGAAACTCTGTCTCAAAAAAGTAGTATTCATCAAATTTAAGTCTATCTATTTTATGTGTTTTTTATGTGTTTGCATGTATGCATATGTTTGGAGGTCGACATCAGGTGTTATTTTCCGTTATTCTCCACTTTCTATTTTGAGACAGGGTCTTTCTCGATCATTGAACCTGGAGCTCCTGATTTTGTAGATTGCTGGCCCAGAGAGCACAGTGTGTGCTTCACGCCCAGCTTTGCTGTGGGTGCTGGGGTCAAAATTAGGCCCCCGTGCTTCCTCAGCAAGCACCTTGACAACTTTGCTATCTCCTAGTCCTCACTGCATTATTTAAATTTTTGAAAAGATATTTTATATGTGTGTGTGTGCATGTATGTGAGTGTGTGTGTTGTGTGTCTGTGCGTGTGTGTGTGCGTGTGTGTGTGTGCGCGCGTGTGTGTGCGCGCGTGTGTGTGTGCATGTGGAGGTCAGAGGACAACTTTCTGGAGTTGTGTCTCCTTCTACCATGTGGTCCAGGGATCAAGCTCAGGTTGCCCGCTCAGCAGTAATCTCCTTTACTCACTGAGCTATCCTGTTGGCTCCTGAGTTTTTTGTTTTTTTAATTAGTTAAAGATTCATTTATGCTTGGGTAACAGCACAGATTCTTCTTTTCCTTTTCTTTTTCTGTTTTTTAAGGCAGGGTGTCTGGTTGCCCAGGTTAGTTTCCAACTTGCTCTGTAACTGAAATGACTCTGAGATCTTGCTCTTCCTGTCTCTACTTCCAAAGTTCTGGGATTACAAATCCGTGCCACACCGGGCTAAGCTCCCAAAATTCAGTAGAAGGGTGGAAAAAGTGAGATATGAGCAAAGAGGTCAAGACCCACTGAAACAGCTTACCTGAGCGAATGGGAGCCAACTCCAGCCTGGACAGGGAAGGAACAGAATGGGACCAAAAGTTAGACCCTCTCAGAATGTCGGTGACAGCTGTATGTCTGGGGCAGACTGCGGGGCACTGGCAGTGGCACCAGAATTTGTCCCTGCTGCTTTTACTGGCTTTTTGGAACCCATTCTCTTTGGATAGATACCTTGCTCAGCCTGGATATAGTGGGAAGGGCCTTGGTCCTTCCTTGGAGCAATGTGCCTTACCCTCTCTAGGAGTGGATGGGAGTGGGGTTGCAGTGAAGGGGGAGGGAACGGGAGGAGGGAGAGAATGGGAACTGGGATTGGTATGTAAAATGAAAATAGTTTGTTTTCTTTTTTTTTTTTTAAAAAAAAAAACACCTTAAAAAAGATCTGTGCCACCACTACTGACTCTGGCAGCACATAGCCCCAGATCAGAGTGACCCAGGGATTATACTGCCCTGTGCACGGAGGAGCCACAATTCTAAAGTATTCTGGTTTTTGGCATTTGGGCTCTTTGCTGATTAATGCTAAGATAATGACATTTGGAAAGGATGTTGAAGGGTGCCTTCAGGGTCCATTCTGTCACCCCAGTGATCCCAGTAGGTTATGATTATTAATTACCTGGGTAATCTTTGTAATTACATTCAAATATTTGTTTTTATTGAGTAAAATCAGCTTAAAATTAAAAAAAAATGAGATTACCTTTAAAGTCCAACCATAATCCACTTAATAGACCAGAATTCTTCAAAGTGGTGAACAAATGATGCCAGACTTTGATATACTAATAAATCAATTAATTAACAGTTGGCCTTGGGATATAGCTCATTCAGTACAGTGTTCACCTAGCATGCATGAAGCCGTAGGTTCAAATACTCAGCACCAAATAAATTGGGGCTGTTGGCAGACCCCTAAATTACCAGTACTAAAGAGGTAGAAACAGGGAATTAGAAGTTCAAGGTCATTTTTAGCTGCATAACAGATTCAAGCCAGTCTGGGATATACACGACCCTGTCTGAGGGTGAAGGGAGGATGCAGTGGGACCCTCTCCAGCGAGTTGGACGGAGGAAGATGGGGTAGGAACCAGAAGGAAGATAGGGTGGGAGCCTCTCCAGCAAGTTGGAAGTAATTCTGAATGGATATGATAAAAAGTCATTACGTAAATGTAAGAAATTTTCAAAAAATTAAAATTATTTTTAAAAATCAGTGCATTATCTCTGGATTATAGACCCTGATTTTTTGCATTTTTTTTTACTGTTTTTACTGAGCTGTATATTTTTCTTCATTCCCCTTCCTTCCTCCCCCTTCCCCTTCTACTCTCTTCCATGGTCCCCATGCTCCCAATTTACTCAGGAGATCGTCATAGACCTTGATTTTGGGAGATTATTATGAGAACTTTTTTTAAAGACAGGGTCTCACTATGTAGCTCTGGTTAGCCTGGAATTTGCTATGTAGTTCAGGCTAGCTTCAGATCCACTTGCCTCCGGATTAAAGGACTGCCCAAGCACACCTGGCAAAAACCATCAATATGTTCTTAATTAAAAAAAATCTCATTATTTTTCTGATGTTTTGTTTTCAACAAATAGTATGTTTTAATTTTCCTATTTAACCTCTAATTTATAGCCAGGTCTGACTCAAAGCAGTATTAGTTTGTAACCTATTTTCTCAACTGACTTTTAAATAAAAGATAAGGTCTTCTGACTTTAAAATTCTATGTAAAGACAGCCTTCCCATATCTTTTCAATAGCTCACCATGTCCTTAGGATTCAGTGAGACATTCTCATCTGGGGCTGGAGATGGCTCAGTGGTTTAGAGCATTTGTTGCTCTTGCAGAGGACCAGGGTCTGTCACATAGGTGGCTCACAACCCTCTATGACTCCAGGTCCAGGGGATCTGAACCCTCTTCTGGCCTCCACAGGCACTAGGCATACATGTGACAAACATACATAAATGTGGGCAGAAAACCTCTTACATGTAAAATTAAAGAAATAAATCTTTAAAAATTAAAACATTCCCAGTTTTCCCGAAAACAACCATTTCTGTGCTTCTGTGGCATTTTTACCATTAAGACTGTAGTGAGTTATAGCACAGGACACTAACTCTGAGAATGAAATGCAATGGGCTGTGATATCGCGGGAATCTCTTAAAAGTTTAATAGTAGATGTCTTCAGTGATATTTAAACATGGTTTCTGGTGTGGGAAGTCCTTCTGTATATGTGTTGCTTTCATTGGTTAATGAATTCATTTCAGCCAGTGGCTTAGCAGAATAGAGCAAGGAGGGAACTCCAAGCAGAGAGAGGCAGAAAGAAGGCAGAGTCAGGGGGACACCATGTAGCCACCACTGGAGACAGACACACCGGAACCTTGCCAATAAATCACGAGCCTCGTGGTAAAATATAAAATAATATAAGTGAGTTAATTTAAGATATAAGAGCTAGCTACAAACATGCTTAAGCTATTGGTCAAACAATTTTGCAAATAATATAGTTTCTGTTTGATTATTTTGGGTCTGGGCAGCCAGGAACAAATGAGCAGCCTGATAACAGGCTTCTGAAAAAAATCATCTTGGTCAAACATGTATGACTGTTATGACTGTTTTTATGTGTGTCTCCTCTTTGTATATAAATTTGTTCAGTGTGATTATTACCAATGAAAATGTGTAACTAATTGTAGTCAATGAAATTAACTCCAGTAGCAAAGAAACCGCAACACATCCCTGCATAGATTTTACTAGCTCAGAATCTCTGGGCGTTAACTGCAGTGATGATGTCACCCGAGAGACTTTGTCCCATGATATCTAATTGACCTCAGAGAATCTCACCTGTCGTCTTGTCATAACTTACAGTACCTCTCAAAGTGTACAGCTTCCATCTTTCCCGCAGCTATGAAGGTGGCAATGGGCATGCAGAAGCAAATCACAGCCAAGAGGGGTCAGATAGATGCCCTGCAGAGCAAGGTGCAGTTTTTAGAAGAGGCTGTGACAAGTGCCAACAAGGTGAGTCTTTGTCCTGAGAAGCAAGCACAGCTGTTGGTTAATACATTGCAAGGCAGAAGGGGGGCACAGCAAAGGACGTACAGTTGGGAGAGATTTCTGATGGTAATCAGAATGAGGGTAAGTTTCCAAAAGGAACATTAGAGAAGGAATTCTTAAATTTAAATGTACCTGCACATGTATATGTATGTTCACCACCTGTGTGCCATGTGTGTGCAGAAGTTAGAAGATAGTGTCAGATGCCCTGGAAATGGAGTTATGGATGACTGTGAACCACTATGTGGGTGCTGGGAACCTAACTTGGGTCCTCTGCAAGAGCAACAAGTGCGCTAAACTGCTGAGCTACCTCCAGGCCCTGTAGAGGGATCTTAAAGAATAGCTAGTATCAAGTGTAGACATGGTCAGAGGGACATTCCTGGTAGAGACAGGAAAGAGTCATAAACAAAATATAATCAATACTGTTCCGATGACTTTCTAAAAACTATGTTGTAAAGAATTGTGTAATAAATAGTACCAGACTTAGAAGAACAGTGGGGTCTAGAGTACCACACACAACAGATTTACATATATGAAGTTGTTCGATACTAGACTAGGGATATAGCTCAACAATAGAGCACTTGCCTACTTATCTAGCAAGTGCAAGGTCTTGTTTCAGTCCCCAGGTAGGAAAATGAAATATGTATATTATGGCATATGTGGTCTTTTATCTTGAAAAGATAACTGGAATTTACTCATGAAATTGTACATTATTGTGAAGGGGTATAAGACCAAATGTGGTTCATAATCTATGGCAAACTGAGGTAGCTGATCCATGTGTTTGAAGAACATGTTGGGGGGCTTTTGTGTGCTCCTACCCAGCTCTGTCTGGTTAGTCAGATGGAGTTTTCACAGTTCCGGAGTAGATAATGTTCAGTAGCAAACATGGCAAAGGTGCTGTGTTCGGATGTTCTAATGTCAGTTTCACAGATAACATTTTCATATCTGTAACAGAACTGACCGCAGTGAACATGCAAAAGAAATGCACAGGGGCTGGAGAAATGGCTCACTGTAAGAGACTGGCTGCTCTTCCAGAGGACACGGGTTCAATTCCCAGCACCCACATGGCAGCTCACACTGGTCTGTATCTCCAGTTCCAGGGGGTCCAACACCCTCACACAGACACACATGCAGGCAAAGCACCAATATACATAAAATAAAATTAAATCATTTAAAAATGACATAAGTAAAATTAATCAATTACTAAATTAATTACTTTATCTGTTATTTATATTTATTATTTGTAGTTTATTAGTTCGTCATCCACAGTGAGCCACTGGGGTGCTTTGGAAGGCACATACATTGTACCCCCTTCATCGTATGCACCTGCCTGTTTCCCTTTCCTCTCTTCCTTCCCATCTTTCTTCCTCTTCTTCTCTTTTCCTGAATATATTCTTTTCCCATCTGCCTCATTATTTCCCCTTAGGACTCTAAAGTAGTGCTTTTCTCAATTTATGGTAATTAGGGCTTTGTAAAGTTACTTCCTCCTATTGGCCTACACCTGCCTCCACATATGACAAGTGTCCCCACAGCCCACGCCTGCCTCCACGTATGACAAGTGTCCCCACAGCCCACGACCGCCTCCATGTATGACAAGTTTCCCCACAGCCCACGCCTGTCTCCACATATGACAAGTGAGTTCAGGGCAAGAGCTGTCTGTCTTGTTTGTTTCTGTCACACAATCTACAGTAGACATTTGTAAAATAAATATTCAACCATGAAGCAAGATTGAAACCCATGAGACTTTCAAATAAGTGCGCCTTCTTTAAATATCTTATTATTTAAAGTAAATTTTAGTAAAATTTAGTATGTTGTTATTCAGTCCTACTGCACCAAAATACTATTTTTTATGATGTGTGGACCAAAATACTGTTTTTTATGATGTGTGGTTGCTTCGTACTTTGTAGATGTCACCAGAGACCTATGGAGCCTAAGCAGTAACACTCGGAGAGATGAAAAAAGGTCTAACTAAGACTCCTTTGATGGATGTTTTAGCTTCAGCACTTACCTAATTTTATCAGCAGTTATCCCTGTGACTTTCTCTTCTGTAATTGTAGGAGAAGCATTTTTTGAAAGAAGAGAAGAGTAAGCTCAGCCAGGAGTTGAGTACCGTGGCAACAGAGAAAAACAAGATGGCCGGGGAGCTAGAAGTGCTTCGGTCTCAAGAACGCCGCTTGAAGGAGAAGGTTGCTAACATGGAAGTCGCTCTTGACAAGGTAGTTACTGACTGAGCGGAGGGGGTTAGCACCTGGATAGCAGCTGGATAGGATAGCTCTCAGCGGAAGTTCTGCACTGCCAACTTGCATCATATCCCAACCTTACGGCACAGAGGCAAGCTGTCACTGACAAAGGAGACTGAATTTAAACCTCAGCCATTGCATATGTAGCCAGTGCCTCTACACGGCTGTCACTAAACTAGCAGAAGAGCAGTGGGTTTATTTTCTTTCACAGTTTTGTGTTTCTGTCCCCCATGGTAGTGGGAAGTATGGCGGTCACAACGTCAGTCATGGCAGACCAGGGTGTTGTTTGTGTGTGACGTTTTACTCTTTCAGCTTTTTGAGGGACCCACCACCCAGCTCCCAGATAAATCACTCACGGAGGCTTATTCTTAGCTATGGAATGCCCGGCCTTAGCTTGGCTTGTTCCTTGCCAGCTTTTCTTAAGTTATCCAGACTACTTTTTGCCTTTTGGCCTTTTATCTTTCTCTACTTCTATATACCTTTCTTTACTTGGTTCTCCTTGGCTTGCTGGGTGACTGGCCCCTGATGTCCTTCTCTCCATATTCTCTCGTTTGCTCCTTGCTCTCCTTCTATTTGTTCTCTCTGCCAGCCAGCCCTGCTTTTCCTGGCTCCTGCCTCACTATTGGCTGTTCAGCTCTTTATTAGACCATCAGGTGTTTTAGACAGGCAAAGAATCACAGCTTCACAGTTAATCAAATGCAGCATAAAAGTTTTACACCTGAAAAGAATATTCCCCAATACCAGGTAGCCAAGTGTGAAGCAAAGTCAGGAAAGGCTGGTACCCTCTCTAGAGACCTTTCTGTCTGCCAGGCCACCTCCTAAAGCTTCCATGCCCTGTGAGGAACATTTTAGACTTGAGCCATAATAGTATACTTTCTCCCCAAGAAGATAGGCTAACACAAGTCACAGGAGCAGTAGATAAAAAATGTCTTTGCTATGCTTAGTCACCAAAGTAAACATGCCTCCGTGGGTACCTAACCTACCATCAAAATCATCTAGATTTTAATTGGAGTCCAGTCTCTTACACGTTAATGAAATGATAGTGCTAATATCTACCACTTTATTAGGTCTGGAGCAGGTGGGCAGAAAACAGCTGAAAGAAGGCCCGACACTGTTTATCATTTGTTACACAGGGATCAAACTGTCTCCTGTTACTTAGAAACCCTGAAACCTATGACTGCATCATAACCAATCTTTAACTCCTAAGAAGCCAGACCTTTGTGTTAGATAAAATAATCTGTGATCCGACTATGCCAGCTTTGCTCCTTAAAGCATGCTATTCTGGGTCTCAGTTGTAGTTTGGGATTTTTGAATATGGCCCCAAACTTAGCCCAGGGTAGCACTGAACTACTGATCTTTCTGGTTTTGCCTCCTGTGTCCTAGGATTACAGGCCTATGCTTCTGAGCCCAGCATATGGATTTTATGCTTTGATAAAGCTTTTTGCAAATTCCATCCTTTGTTCATTCCCTCCTACTAATGATTGGTGTTTGCCGAGGATGCACTGGATAAGACAGGCCACATGACTGTACGCAGCTGATAGATGGATCATTGAGTGCAGTGTGCTGGGGGGATGTGGTTTTCCTGACGAGAGAGCTGGAAACTACATTACAGGTTAATGCAGTAAAAGTTCATAAAGAATGGAGGATAAACCACTTATGGTTGCTTGATTGTAGGCATCTTTGCAGTTTGCAGAATGCCAAGATATCATACAGCGCCAGGAGCAAGAGTCTGTGCGTCTGAAACTTCAGCACACTTTGGATGTAAAAGTAAGGGTATTTTTCATCATATATAATTTAAGCAGAAATAATGCCCATGCTTGATATGCTTTGATATTCTCTTTATGTACATTTTCTCTGTGTGTTTTTGTGTGTGCATGTGTATACACATTTGTATATTTTTAAGTGAGCACTGCGGAGGCCAGCGGCCAATGGTAGGGTTCTTCTTCCTCAGTCACTTCTCGACAGGGTCTCTCACTGAACCTGGAACTCAGTAGGTTAGGCTGGGGCCAACAAAACCCCAGGAGCCACCTCTCTCCACCACCCAGCTCTGGGAACACAGCCTCACGTCACTGCACTTGACTTATTCCGAGTACTGGGGGTTGAAGTCCTTACGCTTGCACAAGGAGCCATCCTCCATCGGAGCCAGCTTCCCAGATCCCTACATATTTTACATTTAATATACTGTCCACATCATCTGCTACATTTATAAAGTCTGTAGAAGTATTGCTACCCACTATGCCCATACTTTTCATTGAGAACAACATTGAAACATCACATTTTAGTTTTAGTTGACAATAAGCAAGTGAAACAATGTTCCTGAAGTGACTGCCTTGGGAATCCCTAAGGGAAAAGTCCCCCCCCCACACACACACAGGTGTGGAGTGACCCAAAGACCAAAGACCCAAAGGATCAATGTTTGTGCAATAATTTTTATAAAAAGTGCTTTTATATTGAAATGTCTATATTTTAAGTTGCCTCTATTTTAAAATTTTAATAATAGGTTTTGCCTGTGGAATTAAAAAACAATTTTGATTTCACACCTCTTTGTAGCTGCGGGTTAAGATTGCTTTGCTCACTTCTGCATTGTTTGTAGGAGCTTCAGGGCCCTGGCTACACCTCTAATCCTTCAATGAAACCTCGCCTTCTCCAGCCGGCCTCTGTAACCCGGTCACACTCCAATGTACCCTCCTCCCAGTCGACGGCCAGCTTCCTGTCTCATGTTAGTAACCAATCATATAATCCATAAGACAAATGGCGGAATGTGTGAGTAATTTAAGTTGGGAAAAAGTCACTTATGAAAATAATGTTTATAACTAGCATTTTCAACGACTAGATTTTAGATTTATACAGTTTCCTTAGAATCCAATGGAGTTCATATAAAAAAAATTTCTTTACTGTTTTCTTGGAAAAGACAAAATAAAATTGTCATTGGGATTAATGATAACAAAAACTATTAAAGTAAGTTATATAATTACATTATATTCAGTTCTTCAGTTAGTCCCAGCACAATCAGGTTTCATATAAAAAGCAACACACATGGTAAATACATAGCATATCACATGCTAAGTGCAGCATAGCAGAATATTTAATATGTCACCAAGACAAAGACTGTTGACTTTAGGTCATTTCCTAATAAACTATTTTTAATATTTTATTAATTCCAAAAATACTTTTAGTCCCTCTAGTTAAAATGTTAGTAACTTGGTAAAATTTTTAGTTTAACTCTTTATACTTTCAAAACACAAGAAAAAACATGGACAATTTTAATTCAGGTTTTCTCTGAAGACATAAATTCCTTATAATCAGAAACCAGCACTAACCCTTAACAAAAAAAAAAGAGAGAGAGAGAGAGAGAGAGAAGACAGGAGAAAGACTTGTCCCATCTGTCAGTTACAATAACCTTGTTTTTACCTTGAAAAGTCCTGTATTTAGAACGCAGCAGGATCATCAGAACCACTGCAGGTGCTGTTCACATAGAAGGCCGGTGCTGTCTAATGACTAGCAGTTGAAATGGACTTGTGCACTGCAAAACAAACCATCATTTGTCCTACTAGTCCGTAATTTCTGTGTGGCAGCTGAATTAATTTTATGAGAATATAATTGCAGACATGAAAAGCTAAGTCTTTGTGTGTGCATTGCTTTGATCAGCACTCTATGAAAACCAACACACTGAAGGAAGACCCGACCAGGGACCTGAAGCAGCTTCTCCAAGAGCTGAGAAGTGTCATCAACGAGGAGCCGGCCATGCCTCTAAGCAAGACAGAAGAGGATGGACGGACACCGTCCCTTGGAGCATTGTAGGTGGCTGTGGGAGACTGCATGCTTGTAATGGCAAGCTCCTCTCAGGAGCCTCAGAAGCCCATCACCCGTGTTATCCACAGGTCCCTATCTAGAAAGTCAAGGGTTAAAGAACTTTGAAGAGACTGTAAAGTTACCAGGAAAAACAGCCTGAAGGTAGAGAGGTTAAACAAATCAAAGAGGCAAGCCCCCAACAGCAAATGGGCATATCCAGTCCAGAGACCGCACACAGTGTTAGTGTTAGTTTGTAGTGAGTTAGGATTGGAAGAGATTTCACATCCATAATCACATTGGGTATTACACCACCAATTGTGACAAGGTGGGGCAATGCTTGCTTATTCCATTTTACAAGTGAAACAAACAAATCCCAAAGGACTGATCTGTGTGCAGCACACTGTCCATTGTGAAGCTAGAACTATATACATAGCACTGAGAACTATGAACACTCAAGGACTAGACTAATAGGAAAAGCCTCGGCCTCTAGCTGTTCATGACAATGGCTTACAACAAATTAATAAGATGTCTCATTCAAAACAGATGAGCTCACCAGCCTCCTGCCCATATCTACAGAGGCCTACGAGACTCCCTGTGCTTCTCAAGTGCTCTTGTATTGTCATTTAGATGAACTTATAGTAAAGCATTTCATGTGCTATCTATGTTGGTACTAATCTTATTTTTGTAATATTAATGTGTTTATATGGCAAATATCTGAAAGTAAAATTTTCTGAAGAAATATCTCTATATATCTCAACTCTAGTTCCTTAAGATATTCTGAGAATATATATTTAACCCAAGTGCCAACATTAGCTGGATTTATCTAAATGTTAATAATAACAGTAAAACATTAGTAATATATTGATTACCCATCATGATGCTGCATTACCTCAGCCACAAAGTGCTGAGAAATGTTCTTTCTGTTGGATATTCCAGCAAAGAATCCTCTGACTTGCAGAACACTTCTCTCTCTCTCTCTCTCTCTCTCTCTCTCTCTCTCTCTCTCTCTCTCTCTCTGTGTG